TTTCAGGAAGTCATCAAGGGCATTCCTTCCTTCTGGATTAAAACGCACGGAGCTTAGCCCTGGACCCAGCCACGAGAGAGGCCTGCCAGTTCTTTGAGTTGCTGCCTCTCTCTCTCTCTCTCCTGAAGGCAGCCTTAGGAACGCACAAACATGTTCCCCTGAAAAGCAGCTTGTTCCAAAAAGACTTCGTTGCAAACGTGTGGAAGTCAAAACATCTCCAAATCAGACAGGCTAGAACTTCGGAAGAAAAACGAAGTCATCCAGCCTGGCAGTCTCTTGCAGAGAGCATCAACCAACCTTAGGAGTCACAGATTTTGAACAGGGAGAGAAGCCCTCATGTTTTCTTTGAATAGACTTTGTAGGGTTTTTACTTACATCCCGATTTTCTGTTGTGTGAAAGTAAACCCTATGCAATTTTCATTACTTCATTCACCTCTCTTATGTCTCCAATTAACTGTTTTCTTCCCATTTCCTAACATGGCTATCAGAATTAAACAAAACCTTGAGCAATTCTGCTTTCGGGTTGTTTTTCCTAACACACAGCCTTTGCAGCTTGGCTCACCTGATTTAATCTACTCTGTGTTTAGTGGGAGGATATCCCATGATGCCACTTTTTATAGAATCTGTTACACCATGTGGTTCACACTCTTCTTTGACAACCAGATACTCACAGCGGTGCAACCAAAAGAACATCAGATAGCAGAAAGGCAGGTGCATGTAACACAAGGCACACCTCTGGATGTGGCAGGCTATCAAGGTCAGCAAAAGTGCAAAATTTGCCCTCAGAACTTTTCTCATATAGAGCAGACAACAGATGGAAGGCACAGCATTTCTACAAAAGAGCCCAAGATTAAGATGAAACTTGGCTAATCATGCTGACACAGCCACCACCAGCAGCCTCCTTCCACCTCCTTATTCTCAGGGGATGGCTCATCCTTCTGGCATATAACCCAGATCTGCCTTCCGGAAGAACAAATGTTCCTGTTCCCCAAAGTTCAACAAGAATCACTCGGAGGAGTTACAAGCCAAAGTCCTATCATGTCTGGGATGTTTCCTGTTTAGCAAAGTTCAGTAGGAGCTATTTTGGTATTTTATCATCTCATCTTTCAGCCATCTGATGTTTGAAAGAGAGACAACCAACCGGGATTCTTCATCTCCATAAACATTTGCCACTCACAACGTTGCAATTTTTACAAAAAGTTTGAATTTAGTAACAGGAACTCCCAAGTTATTAGCTAAGGCATCTTCTATAAAAAAAGAATAAAATATAGGAAAGTAATACAAGATTTGAATGGAAAAACATGTAATAAAATGAAGGAGAAATTGGAAGCATTTCAAACATTTTATAA